CCCTTCTTTGGTTCTCTTCTGCCACGGACATCTTAATTTTAGCACGTACTCCATAAAAATCTCACCTGTCGCCTGTGTTCACCTTCTCTAAACTATAGCAAGTGGCCAGGCACACAGTGTAGAGAAACACAGTTTGAGGGGACGGTAGAGATTAATCTCTCTGGAACTTCCCCCTCTGTCACCTGTCTCTATCTTACGGATGAGGAAACTGAGGTAGAGAGCAGACAAACCCAGTCTTTCCTTTTAAGGTTCATGGAAACCTAGTGTTTTTCTTTTTGTTTGTTTGTTTGTTTTTGTTTTGTTTTTAAGATCAAGTGGTTGAGGTGATGAGGCCTTTCCAACATGTTCAAGTCCGGGACTGGGATTGCAACTTTTGAGACCTGGAAACTTCCGGAGTACACGTGTCGGAAGTCAGCGGACCTCCCAAGGCCTCATGAAGACTGAGACCTAGGAAGCATGGATTTTTAAAGCAACACCTGTGTTTGAATTTCACCTAACAATAGATGGCGTATACGGACTACGTGGCTCCACGATGGCTTACACACGATGACCCGCTTAATCTTGGAAATAAAAGCTCAGGAGGCGGTGATCCTGATTGCAAGCCGAAGTGGAGTCTGCAGGAACTGGGCCATACACGATATGCTTTGTATATGTTGCTTTTTCTCCCACAAAGAATCAGAGGTAATTATTGATGCTACGGATGCCTGAGCAGTCTTACCCCTGGTGCCACTCCCTCCCCACTTTACCTTCTGTGAGAATAAGGTTTTAAGGATGTGCCCCAGCCTTTTAAACCCTGTTTCTTCAAGTTTGCACACTGTAAACATTCAACAGATAGTTGTAAAACACACACTTAAAGGCCTGTTGTGTGTGTGTGGTGGCAGGGGGAGGGATTGAAACTTCATCCAAGCATAAAAGACCTTCGGGATGTGTCACTCCTTTTAATTCACGTTAAAGGGTGGTTTTAAACGTGGCCGTCTCTTGTATTGTCCCAAAGTAAGGAGGTAGATCTGGGGCAATTCTGCCTCAGCCCATCACCTTTCTCAAACCCCAAAGGCTTTGTTTTTCTCCCTAAACAAAGAGGGAAGGAAAGAGGAATGAATACATTACGTACAAACGAGGGAAGCCTCTTTGCTCTCTCTGTACAATCTGGACTTCACAGAGGACTAGTGGAAACCAGTCAGACAGGAGCTCTAAGGAACAGGCTGGGAAAGAAAGGGCCCATAGCTACCTTGTTTTAATTATTTGTTGCTTTCACCTGGCAAGAGCCCTCATGGCCTCCACGTTTGGACCAATATTTAGATACAAAACCAAAGACCATGTTTCACCAGGAAGTCAGCAGTTGGAAATTACCTTCTCTTCATCCTATAAATTATTATTAAAACCAGTTATGTAGGCACAGAAATGTGTGTTTTTATATTTTGCGCAGCTACCTTCTCTATCGGTCTGTTGCATGCACACTTCTGTAAACACCTGGGCTCTTTTAATGACCTTAATATTTCTGCTCTGTAATTGAGGTTGGAATGCAGGCCGTTCTCATCCGTTTGATGAGGATACAACAGAAGGAAGAAAGGAAGGCGGAACAGGAGGGGAAGAGTGAAAAACAGTAAACATAGACTCCACAGCAGCCAGAACTTAAAAAGAAAGAAAGAAAGAAAGAAAGTGAAAAGACATTGGTGAAACTGCTGACTCCTGACCCTCTTTTATGGATTAGGGCAGTTTATTGGCAAAAGAGTACGCAGAAGCTAAAGTTAACCACGAAGGGATTCGAACCCTCAATCTTCTGATCCGAAGTCAGACGCCTTATCCGTTAGGCCACGTGGTCGCTTGCAGCTCAGTCTTGCTGAAATATTTAAAAGCATCCTGAGCTTTCTTCCAGCCGGGTCCTGAGTCCTTCACGTCACGTCATGATGCAAAGGCTATGTCGCCTGGACTTTTTCGCCTTTAAAAAGATGGAAATTCTAGACAATGTGGGGTCATTTGGGGCCACGGAGTCGGGATTGGGGAAAGGTTGAAACTGACAATCATTTAAGTCTTGTGGCATATGGGGACTCAAGTCTACCACTGCTGAGCAGAAAACTGGAGTTTTTGGCTCCTAAGCGATGCCAAAGTATTGCATATTGTCTGCATCAAGGGATATTTTCTAATAAGCAAACTCATTGTTCCTTCCTTATCAACTCACCCACATGCACTATTTTCAGTCTCTCGATACTTGGGTCAGCTGGCTGGAGAGTTGTCATGGTAACCGCACCCATAAGGGGGTCTTACTATCTGGAAGCATCTGCACCAGTGACCCTCTCGCCATTCCGCGTGGGTACCTGCCCTTCCCTTCCCATGCTCTTCTGGTGCTTTCTCTGATTTTTTTTTTCATTAAAAAAATTTTTTTGTTGTTGTTGTTAGTATTACAAATATCTCCGGTTCCCGCCCCCCGCTTTCTCCCCCTCCTCCAGCCCCCCCTCCCCCCGCCCAGTCTTCACTTCCCTATTGCCCGTGGTTGTTAGAATGTGAGATTAGAGCGCTTTCACACGGTGTCTCTATCCATTTGAAGAAAAGAATGCTTTTCTTAGCGTTTCTCAGGGGTTTAAAGAGGTCCAGGGCCGTTACTATTTTTTGAGGCGTCCATATATTAATAAATTAAAGTAACCCACTATGGCCGGAGTACAAAAATTGTGACTGTTAACAATATTTACATTGAATGCACACATCCACACAAAAAAACGTGTTTCAATAGCTCATTCGATGGACAAGGTGTTTACAGACTTTATAATGTTCCGTAGGGTGTTTGGCCCAATAACGCGGTATTGATGAAAAACTGTGCTCAGAGGGGCTCCTTTCGAGCTTGTTAGCGCGTGTGGGTGACCTCGAGCACCTCGTTAGAAGGTAACGTCAGCTGCACGCAGGGGCATTTCCTTACTTTTCTTAAATCGCACGCCCTGGGAGTATTGGCCCTACTGGCTCGTTTGTCTTGGCTTTTGTTGTTTTTTATTGTGAACATAAACTGCAGAATTTTAAAAGTGGAAGAAAAGTGCTTAGCAGAGGATGGTTTCGATCCATCGACCTCTGGGTTATGGGCCCAGCACGCTTCCGCTGCGCCACTCTGCTCTCTGCCTCGTGGCGTCTCTGTCTTCCTACTTAACTCTGTTCAAAAGCCAGTGACGTTCGTTTCTAAAAATAGCTCGCGGGAAAGCACCTATTTATTTATCCCAATACTTTCGCTTCCACAAGTTGCCAATTCTGTTTGGAATAATGTCGCTGCCAGAATCAGAGAGCAGACCAAACTAGGAACAGAGAAGTAAACATTAACACACATGAGTGACTGGGCGCAGAGGTGAGGGTGGCTAGATAGTGAAATGAGAATTACAGGCTTTAATACACAGGGAAGAAAAAAATAACCTCGCCGCGAAGGGACCCGGGCTTCCGTGGCCCCACCTTCGGGAAGAACACCCTTTTGGTCGGATTTCCCTGGTTTGGGGTGTGTGTGTGGGTGTGGGTGGGGGGGCGGCCGCGGGGGAAATGACAGTTTTTAGACTCCTGCCCGGGCTGAGGTGGGGCTGGGGGTTGGTTGGAAAGGCTTTGCCCGATAACAGTGAAAACCTGAACGGCGAGCCGAGGTTTTTCCTCCCGGGGTCGTGTCTCGCGATGCCGAAGATTGAGGACCGTGGGCCAGAAGATTTAAGCAAAACCGTGGACATTTTATTACAAGCAGATTCAGAGCGGGGCCAGGTATGGGCTGGCGGTGAAGCCAGCCGGTCTAGGCATATCGGGCTACAAGCTGCTCTGTGTCTACCTGTGTCGCCCCTGATCGATTCCCTCATTGTTCTTGCCCAGCACGGACCTGAGCTCCCTGCTCCTATACGTCAGGTCACCTGTTGCCACAGGCCCTCCCTCGTTTCATATGCCTCCCACCTGAGTCCAGACACATTCCATTATTTCTGCCTGTTGGTTCCTGTGATCAGGCTGCTCACACTTCCCTGTCTGCCCTGCCTGGTTCCTCCGGCCTGTGTTTCCCCCGGACCCTGCCCCGTGGGCCTGCGAGTCCAGCGAACGCCTCTCAATATGTGTGCCCTGGGCGCCAACTCACTGGGCAGGCGCGGCTACCTCCAACCCGTGTGAAATGTGGGAAGGAAAGAGGGTCTCTAATAAATTCATGAAGGAAAGTAACCCCCCAGGGTGGTCGGGCCACAGGTGGGTCTCGGTGGGGAGCCAAGCCCCAATCTTACAATTCAATGGAAGGTTATCTTGCCTTAAGCGAGTCCTGCCCATTGTCCTGGTGCATCCAGGTTACCCCCCCGAACCCCCAAAAGGGCTCCTCCTTTTCCAGCCGCTCAGAGCGCAGCCGCCCTCCAGGGTGCAGTTCTCTCCGGCACCTCGTTTCCCCCCGCGTTGGTGGAATCCTCCCGCATGGCAAGTGCGTGAAAGAAGCTACAAAACTGTCCTCCTGCGCATTTGAGATCTCGCCCCCTCGCATGTCCTCAGTTTGGCTCTAATAAACTTATAAAATTCTCTACCGTTTCCCGTGTTTCTGCACGGAAAAATGGTCAGTTTCTTTAGTTTTCAGCAGTTAATTCCAGAAATCCTCATCCGGGGACCCACGACTTGCCGCGGGAGGCGGGACTACATTCATGGTGACGTCACCCAGCGCGAGGCCGCGAGGGCCGATATCCGGCGGAAGTTCTGCGCGCCTTCAGTTTTCAATTAGGTCCGCACTCCGCGTATATAAGTGAGCTGCCTTTGTTGCTCAGCCTGTTCGGAACTTGTCTGTTCAGTCACCATGTCCGGTCGCGGCAAAGGCGGGAAGGGCCTGGGCAAGGGCGGCGCCAAGCGCCACCGCAAGGTGCTGCGCGACAACATCCAGGGCATCACCAAGCCCGCCATCCGGCGCCTGGCGCGGCGCGGCGGCGTCAAGCGCATCTCCGGGCTCATCTACGAGGAGACGCGCGGGGTGCTCAAGGTCTTCCTGGAGAACGTGATCCGCGACGCCGTCACCTACACGGAGCACGCCAAGCGCAAGACGGTCACGGCCATGGACGTGGTCTACGCGCTCAAGCGCCAGGGCCGCACCCTCTACGGCTTCGGCGGCTGAGCCCCAAACCACTACCTTCGACAGCAAAACCAAAGGCCCTTTTCAGGGCCGCCCACCCCCTCTCGGAAGAGCTGTTACGCAGCTTTTTGGTTTGTTGTGTGTGTGTGTGTGTGTGTGTGAGACGAGCGTGAGTACACGGGAGCGGTCCCCGCCACTCCGCACCCCAGTGGAGGACAGGCCCTTGGCACCCCTCCTTTCCCTGGCGGGTACCTTGTGCTCCCTTGTTCCCTTGGGACCGTGCCCTGGTGTCGCCCGGAAGTTCCGCCGAGCTGGTTTTGACTTGTCTGGCGAGCGTTCAAATTAGTGTACAAATTGCGAGGACGTGAGGCTGCAACCCTTCCCCATAAGAACTTAGATCGATTAAAAAATTACCAGTAAAACTGCTCTCGTGTCGGGCCTGGGCCGTCAGGCAGGTCTGCGCACTGTGGGCTCTCCCCTCCCCCCGCTTCCTCCGGGGCATCGCGCTGATTGACCGTCACCCCCTCCAGCACCGGGGGCTCCGGTTCCAATGGGTCTGAACTGGGCCGGTCTCAGTCCCCGGCCCTCCCTGAGCCCGAGGCCCAGCAGCTTGTGAGTCCCATTCACTAGCTCAGCGGTCGGCGCCCGAACTCGGGGCCCAACTCGGCCTGGAGGCCTCGCTGTGCGTCCGAGGAGGAGGGGCTCCCTCCCGCGGCCACCGGCTCTGCCTTTCCCTCCTCCCCTTCTCCCCCTCCGCCTCCGCCTCCCTTCCTCCCTCCTCCCCTCGCTCCC